AAAGTATTGCAAGAAGAGGTGATACCATGGAAGATGTGCTGCAGCTGTAGTGAGCCACAATACCCAGCGACCTGTATATGTGGTCTAAATACATTAGTCCAACCGCGCTTATCGCTGAGATGGAACAAAGACTCAAACGCAAGAATCTTGAAAAAAACTCAGACTAAAAAAAGCTGATAAAAAAATAACTAACAATTCGGATAGCAATTCCAAAGAAAATGAATAGTTGTATGGCGAATTCAATCAAAAACCTTACATTAACTACATTGATTTGGAGGTTGCTAAGCTAAAATTTTTAGGGAAACTTAAAAAAAGTGATAAGAAGTGATTTTGCAGATCCAACAAGTCACCAAATCACAGGACTGTACTTTGTCGCGCCTTCATCGGAGGATAAGGTTGACAGCGTCTCGATTTGGTGAAGTTTGTAGAAGAAGGCAGACAACAAGCTGTAAAGTTCTAGTAAACTCCAACATATACCTAACAGAGTTTTCTAGTAACGCAATAAAAAAGGCAATACAAAAATCATTGGACACCGCAGTTCAGTCTTGTGGTTAGTTTATTGATCGCACACATCTATTTCTGGCAGCATCGCCTCCATCTACCTATTACAGTAGACAAGAAATGTACTTAATCCAGGTATAAGTTTATTGCTTTGCAAAAACTACCTAGCTCTTTCCTCTTATTTTGACGGCATAAGATATTTTTATGACTCTCATTCCATTGTTACCATGTACCACATGACCCTTGTAAACATAATTGTGTTTACAGATATGAATAAACGAACTGTTATTTGAGTTCTTGAATTTATTTTAGGAAAGATATTAAATTATTTGAATACATTTTTTCTTATCCGGAACGCACCGTCGCGTCCCGTGGACTGGCAGGACAAAACAGTGGACGAATTTCGCCCAAAAACCGATTTGCACTTCACAGCTTACGTTTCATTTTTTATTATTTCCAAATGAAACTCTTGTACCGTGCTAAAAACAAAGTCCACAGGGTGCTAACGATCCACTTTTTCGATTTTATCCACAAGGACCTTTTTAAAATATCAAGAAGTTGAGCACAAATAGTAAGCATTTCAACCCACCATAATTCTTGCGCAAAGACAAAATTTTGTTTAACGCTCTGATAGCACCTTAGGCAATTATGTCCTGCTTATATCCAGAAGAACATCACAAACTGCAGAACACAAATTGAACGTAACGGCGAAATGGGTACATTTCACGGGTCATGAAATTCAAATGAAAATGCAGGTATAAAATCTACCAAATTATCATTCTCAAAAACATATTTCCTTTACATATCGATGATTTTAAAGTTCCACGCTAAATTCCCCTATACTTGACTAGAGTGACGTCCGAATTCATTCTTCCCTACTGTCGGCAGTTGCAGATAGATCTGTTGGCTCTTGGTGTCAAACCTATAGAGTCAGGTACTGATTTTTTCAAATCGTGAGCACATTATTCGTCGGATTTTCGTTACTTAAATTTCCTGTAATCACTGGGATCAGAAGCTTCTTAATAATAGAACGTGCTTCACTGATATCAAAGATGCAACATCTAAAATCACCTTCCCCCAACCCCCACTTTTTAAGCAGTACAATTTTTTTCTGCCAATGATAAGGAACCCCTGTAACGTCAAAAACGGAGTTTCAGCAATTGTTACTTTTCCTTTTTTGCCTATAGCACCGTTGCCACTGGACTAAAACTACAAAGCTTGGGCATACTAGTAACCCTGTGTGGAAATTTCATAAAAATCAGCGATTATGAGTACCTATTTGCAGAACGACTTATCTACGCGATATTATTAGAAGTAGGGCCTGCAAGTTATCTGAATATGCCCTTTCTTAGTCCGCACATTGCGCCGCAACGCTTGGGTTGGCAGCACGAAACAGTAGACAAAATTCGTCCAAAATTCGTTTTGTTGAGGCTTGCGCGCTTCGAAATTGACGCTTTATTTTTTGATATTCTTGGAAGAAGTTTTCACACAGTGCTGAAAACAAAACCGCACAGGGTGATATAGAGCCACTTTTTCATTTTCTTCACTAGGTTCTTTTTGAAAAAATCGCGAAATTGTACAGAAAAAGTACGCACTTCAACCCATCATAAAACTTGTGCAAAAACAAAATTTCAAAAAGTGCTCTCCCAGCACCCTGGCCAATTATCTTCTCAACATACTGTATGAATTTCATTCAAAAATATTGAAAAATGGAGTGTCAGTTTTGAAGCAGCTGAACCCTTGTAAATGACTTGAAACTCACTGCGTCGGAGCCGCCTTAGTGGTGAGAGAAAGCTTCGGGTGGTTTGTATATCTATTGAGACTCTCAATCGTTACTGCTTTTTATAGTTGATAATGAAACGATTCTTTTGGCACCAGTATTGAAATTCTTCAAGGGCTCTATTGATTTTTGAAAGTAACTCATCTTCGGATGAGGGTGAGACTATCACACAAGTACCTATTGTCAGCAAATATCTTGGTAAATTTCGTCTTGCTCATTAAAAATCTATCAGAATTTCTATATTTTCACTATGACGAGACCTGTATACCGGAACTAGTACCAAAATGGCATAATTTGTTGCTGACATGCATTAGTACATTTTTGTCAGCTTAAAGATCTGACTTTCCTTGAGCGTACACCGTGTAAAGAATTGCAATATTGCCTTGAGGCTGTTGCATCCCTGGCGATCTGAGATGAACGTTTTCTATGTACGGTCATGTGAGGTTTCAACTAATTTCTAAGCTGTAAAAATTCTTTAGAAATATACAGAGTCGTTGGATAGTTATTTAGAAGAAACCAGTTTCCAGAAGTGTCTTTCAGAGGCCTTTGAATTCGTAGGAAAACCACGCAAAACATGTTTCATAGGAACTTGGCCATTATTTGGTGTGACGCATTCTTTATAAATTCGAGAGGCTAGGTTTTTATTCTGAGACATTCGTGAAGCGTCTCTAAACTCATACTGGAACATCTATTGAAACCAGGTTATCTGACACGTGTGTAACTAAACTAACGATATTTGAACCAAATAATAATGTTCTAAGCTTTTTGTCCTACAAGAGCTTCAAATGGATCGCGAGAGCCGAGAAGTTCCACGTTAACTGTTGTTTCAAAAGCTCTGAAAACTAAATAATTCTCTGAAAGCTATAAAAAGGTCTACACGAAATTGTAGACGTAATGCAGTTCTGTGTTCACGCAAAACGCTTCATAACGTAGGGAATGCTAATATTTACGTGGCAACCTACAATAAAAAGGAAAATTCCGAACAGTGGTATGAGCAATTTAAACTTATATGGCGTTTAACATAGGAGTGGGTTTTCAATTATGACAGGATCGGCCTCAGTACGCATCACTTGAAAATGAGTCATCTGGCAATAAAATTACAATAAATCACAAGCAATTGAAAAAATTGTTTAATTACTGAAGCAGCCAGTCAAAACCTAAATACCAACGTTGTAGAAACATTCGTACTGATGATACGATATTTGACCTGACAGTAGTCCTGGCGGAATCTCATATGAGACTTGTATACAGCGAAGAAGTTAGTTGCTGCTTTCGACTTCAGATAACAGATAACAAGCTTCTTCCCAGCAGTTGATGAGATCCATGCTAGTACTGACCACCACAAAGTTAGAATGAATGGCCTCCTGGTAAAGCTAATACTCGATTAGATTTCTTTACAGATTGAGGGACTACAGTTTTTTAACTATGACATTTCCAGTAGATACACAGTATGCATTTGACGCATTTAAAAATATTCCTGAACTACAAAATTCTCAAGCTTTCACGATGGTGGATTAGCAAACTGTCAAAGTTGCAAGTCTTCGTGCATTCACTCAATTACACACATTATCTATGTGGACTTTCTCCCTATAGAAGCGTCTATCCTAGTATGCAATTAGATACAACAATTTTTACCCGTGGTTAGTGTTACTTGCTGCTTAATGAAACGACATATGTAGAAAGAGAAATCAACTGATATGTTGGCCTTCTTTATAGTGCAGATATAATGATTCGACAATGAAATTTCGGAAGAACATTTATACTTAAAAAAAATGGTTGAAATCTCAGTAATTTTTTCTTTCTATGTAAGTGGTTTAAACTAGCGACCAACGTATCATAAAATTGAATGGAATATTTTGTTTAATTCACTGAATGAAGTATTCAAGACTTTATTGCCCATTCGGTTTGACTAATTTAGAAAAAGACGATTGCAATATGCCATAGGGTTTGATACTCAGTTGTTGAGTTATGAATCAATACCCAAAAACTTTCAACTTTGACAGCGTGCCATTGCCATACTGAATGAAGAATTTTATATTCTGGGGTTATAAATATTTTATAAGAAGCCTCAAAATGATGCATCATATGATCTACTATTCCGTTAAAACCATTTACAGCATGTCGCCTAGGGGCCATCTGTAAATATTCATATGTCGTTTAAAACTACAGTTTTTGTGCATACTTTTCATCTTACCGAACTCTGCCTGGCTAAGAACCGTTTCAGATGTAGCCGACGCTCAGCGCTGACGGTCAGTGCTGACCCCTTGTAGAAAATTTTATAAATATTTTCGAATGTCAATAATATCCTTTGATGAACTGCATTCCAAATCAGAAAGTGACCTGAAATTTACTGACAAAATACGAGTTTATATTTCTTGTACAATAAAACTTATGCAGTCTGATATAGACCTGTTTTGTTTACCTGAATCCTTCTTTTCTTGCTCAGACATACAGGTATTACCAAAATCTGCAATCACTAAGAGCCGTTTCAGATGTAGCCGACGCTCAGTGCTAACCGTCAGTGATGATGAATATATGTATTAGCGTAAATGAATCATTTCACATGCCTTGCGTATGATCCGTTCGGCACGTATCTTCCGTCGGGCGTCAGCTGAGCCCCAGCTGATGCCCACCATCAGCACGGGGTAGGTCCATTGTAGATTTGGTATATTTGACATCCAAGCTGATGGTTGGCGAGCAGTGTTGCAGTGTTTTCCTGATTTGGTTTGTTTATTGGTGTGCTGGTATTTGCCGAAAGTGTATAAAATGAGTGATAGGAAAAGTAATAACATTTATATTGATACCGAACTATTAATAGCTGAAATACAAGAAGAAAAATGTATTTGGGATTTCTCTTGCGAGGATTATAAAAACCGTGATAAGAAATATGATGCCTTTGAACGTGTGGCTGAAATAGTGATTGCAGATTTTGGTAATATGTCTGAGCAAGAAAAGAAGGATTCAGGTAAACAAAAAAGGTTGATATCAGATTGCATACCTTTTATTGAACAAGAAAATAGAAACTCGTATTTTATCAGTAAATTTCAAGTTACTATCTAATTTGGAATGCAGTTCGTCACAGAATTTTATTGACATTCTAAAATATTAATAAAATTTTCTTTCATCTTCTCTGAGGCTGGCGTATAATGTTACGAATGCACATGCTACGTTTCGCTCTAGTACAAGGGGCTGTACCCACAACCTCTTTTTTCCATCGGTTTGTGTTGTCGTCTCCTACGTAAAACAATATAAACGGCAACGGCGCGCACGATGCTATTCGCACATATATGTATATTGAACAACTGATCATACGCAGCATGTGAAATAGCATAGGTGCTGACGGTCAGCACTGACCGTCAGCGATGAGCGTCGGCTACATCTGAAGCGGCTCTAACCTTCAACTCTTGAAGCGGCTGTCTGTTTCCGCTGCTCCGCATACTACTATTGTATTATTATAGTGGTGACACTCTATAGTAGTCAATTATTTCTGTTAATAGTTTGATATTATTAAATTTGATATCCCATGTGATGTATGCCGAAGATGATCTTATTGTGAATAGGTGACTTTATACTTTGTTTCTAGCTAATCGGGCGAGAGCCTAGTGCCGATCCCTAAAAATAAATAGATGCATTTTAAAAAATGGCGTCAAGTAGGTTGTATCTGTACTTCCTACGAAATGCTGTAATCAGTTCATAAAATGATTGTATTTGACCAAAGCTAGTTAGCTACAGACAAGTAAGACAACAAATTAAATGGGTCAGGTTAGTCAAACGGGTATATATACAATTAGCTTATACTCCATAGTCCCCACCCATTTGGTAACGCTTAGGCTAGTTTTTTCCTTGCCCAAATTATTGACCATATGGCAACGCTGCTGAAGCACACCAGACAAGCATGTTCTAAGTGCCATCCTCGATATTATAACTCGGGATCGAGAGCCCCAGCCTCATGCCCGCTGGAAATGAAGTCGGACGCCGGCAAAGTTTGGCATACGAAAGTCCCCGTGGCGTCGTTCCGACCGATCGCGCGTCGCGTCTGTATATATCTTAAGGACGAATGTACGACAAAGGTGCGTGAATTTACTAGGGTTGGAAGCGTATAAATATTTCACAGCAAAAAAAGAGAGATATACCATCCCCTACCCCTACAACGTCCCAATTACAACCCCTACAATATTTTTCTGAAAATAATCAAGAGCCTCCGCAACGTCATGAAACGAAGTTTGGCGATTTTTATTTTTTCGTGTTTTTCGTCCTTGGCATAGTAGTAACCTTGCACAAAAATGTCATCGAAGTCCAAACGGTACTTGAAAGATGGGCTGTTCAAAGATTAGTGATCAGATGGACAGACCGACGAAAATGATTTTTATGGTCTTTTGTGATGTACATGCCCATATAACAAACCAAAAACGCATTATCTCGTTTTCGAAATTTTAGGCGATTATAATACTGCCTCACCCAGTGCCGTAGGAAATGAAACCAGGGTATATTGCATGTCTTCCACATTCTGTTCTTCTTGAGATTTGTACACGGCTCAATGTCAGAAAACGTGTCTGCACCGACCCTGTATCATCATCTTGTACTCCCAGATTTAATATGGAACGGAGCCAAGGCTTATGCAAATTTAATGAATTTCCTGGTTGAATAACTTTTTTCTGGGTATATTAAAACGTTACAACGGCGTTGACAATGTCGTATATTAAACATCATTTAACGTAGTTCTATGCATGCAGGAAACTTTTATTAAGGCAAATGTCTTTCAGTTGACTTTATGAACTCTGATGAAGCCATATTTGCAACACTGTGTTTAGCTGTCTCTTCAGATTTGGGCATACCTTAAAATTGGGATTCGCTGACTAAAAAATGTCTAATTTATATGACAACAATTTTTTCTAAAAGTATTTGGCTTTCATTACCTTGACCGCATTTACAAAACTTTGTACGGATTCAAACATTCGGATTCAGTACGTATAAGTCTGACCTCCAGTGTTTTGAAGAAGTTAACTTGAAAGAATGGCAGCGATCTTGGTCACCCAGGTGGATCTAGTACCTATGTATGTTTGAAGATCAAGCTGTCAAACGGACAAACCGTTTTGCGTTTCGTGTTTGACTGCTTTATAGCCTATCCATGATTTTGACAGATTTGATATGATACTCGTAATAAACTTCTTATAACCATAGACATGACTGCCAGCCCAACTAGCATCCTCTACTCGTACTTCTAGCTTCCCACATTATTCCTTGTCCAGTACGTAAGACATACTTAAACGTTTTGGGATAGCAAAAACAATTCCTTCCAAGTTGCGTTACTACTAGGTATTGAGGAATGTGAGGTTTTGAGGAAGATGAAGAGCTAAGCACACATACGTACTATACAGGGTCACAACAACTGTGGGAATATAATAGGTCCAAGATATGAGGTGTTGGAGCTCCAATTCTGAAATCAGGAAAGATAAATCACCAGAGCGAGTAAAGGTCTCGACTCACCGTAATCGATTCAGATAAAATTTTCGTTGCTCAAATTGCGCTAGTTGATACTTGGGCCTTTACAAAAGAAAAATATTGTCTACGAAGTCTGTAAATTAAGTGATGAGGCTGGTAACGTAGCGTTCGATCTGCCAATACTCGAGGCATCGCGCTTGGAGGAGCGACAGGTGAAAATGTGATCCTCCTTCAGTGCAAGTTCGAACTCGTTAGAGTCATTTGGTTGTCCGTAGTGATTTTTTTTTGGGAAACAGTTTTTATCTATTGTGTTCTAAAAATGAGTAACGTACATTTCAAGCAATGGCAGGCTATCAGGTTTTGCTTCAGACTTGGGCACAGTACAACGGAAGCTGTGGAAAAACCGTCTCTAGCACTGTGTGGCTTTAGAAGTTATTTTGAGGGTGACAATAAAAAATTGTAATTACATTTGGATAAATAATTGAAAAAACCGGTCTCATCACTTAATTTACAGATCTTGTACGTTGAACAATTTTTTTAAGTACCTACTACTTTAAACAAGGCATTTAAGTTTTTGATGAGAAATGTTTGCCAAACTTTCCTTCCGGAGCAAGACTGACTTGAATATTTGATGTAAGATCCTTGCAAGCAATTAAATTCATTAGAAGACCCAACTAAGGTAGTGAAGTTTGATATTGAAAATTGAATTTTATATTAGGAGAGCACTATTATTTCAAATTTGATGACGTGGCCGATGGTTGATTGTGACGAGTCCTTCGTTGGTTGATGTTTCCTACAATCGGTACAAATATGATTTGTCTTTAATCGAGTTATAATCAAATAAAATTGCGTACACACAAACAGAAATGCAGCAGCAGTTGCACATACAACCACCTCAGACTCCAGACGGTGGCGCAGTTGTTGGCAAGAATTCGAGTTATTTGTTCCCAAGGGATGCATGTGTAAATTATTAATGAGGCATCCAGGCAGCCAGCCAGAAGCCGAATAACCCGTTTTCCCGTTATCCAGTTTTCCAGCTCCCATCGCCTCGGTCAGTGGTCGCGACTGGAAATTTTCCAAATTGCTGATCCTTCAAATTACCAGCGATGTTTATGTTTCATATGAATTTATTTATCAGCGACCCAGTTTGCTTTACCGGTGAAGTCGGAAGAACGGATTCAAGCTGTCCATCAAATTGATTTAACTGATTATTTTGCCGCTATGTGGACATGGCAGAGAACTAATAAATAGCTGCCCTCAGTATTTGGTCACATGTCATTAGTAGAGGTTAAATATACGAAAGGCATATATTTGCTATTTCAATGGTGATTTAGCAGTGTACCGAGAGGAGCATATTGATATGCTCTGAGAGTCAACGGCGCTAAAGGCCGTGGCCAAGGACAAGGTAAGTTCAGAGATGCGCTACTTTGCTTCACAGTTAGGTCCGATTCTAAGAAGTGACCCCGCTTTGAGTCCCCGGACAGAATGGAGTGCCCAAGTAACGAGAGAGCTGATTGCCTGGCTAGCCTGGGGGCCAGAAGCACCTGCATCAGCCCTTAGCCTACGCTAGGCTAAAGCATGAAAATACATCTTATCTGTCTCATGTGCTGGGAGGAGGACGATACAGCGTTCCACTTTCTAAGCTTTTGCCCCATTTAAGGACTGCGATACTCGGAGCGATAGAGTTTGATGGTGAAAATGCTTACTCAGCAAAATGGTTGAACATCCCTGACCTTGGGATAGCCGGCAGCCCTAACTTTGAGACTTATCTATTTTCGTTTTGTAAGGGCCTTAACTTTTGCTTTATAAATAGTAATTTTCCGTTTTCTCATTTTAGAACAACGAGCTTCTGTTATGGAACCTCAGCACTCCCCGAAAAAAATTTTACATATATAAAATTGAAGAAAGTAGTTATATGTTTATTGGAACAACAAAGTCACAATATGATAGACGTAATTGCTATATAATGTACTTGCTTGTAGCCAAGGATCTGCCTGAATCATATACAATATAGACAGCTATTTAGAAAAACCGGGTGGGGTTCAAACAAGGTGCCCTACTATTTCCAATATTTGGTACTTCGCAATTGCTCCTGTTTGATGAAGATATTTTTTGTGTTTTAACCTTCCAAGACAAAATATGTTGGAATTTTTCATATGCTGTAATTCATATAAGCTTACGCTTCTTTGCCTCACTTAACATATTCCTGTTTTGAAGATCGGATCGTTCACATCGGAAACAGATAATATTTCTGCCCTGGAATGTCCTTTTCAAAGGAAGGCGTGTACACTAATGTATTGGTTTGTTGCATTGGTAATTAGATTAGCCATGCATTAGGATTGAGTTAATTCAGCGACAAATGCCACCTAGGAATCATATAAGCTTGACTCCTTCTAAGTTACTCGAATTCGCTGGCTAAGACAATACGCGCCATTTCACGGTGTTGATTTCATTTCTACCTCCTACGGCAATAAGCTATGATCATTCAGGCGTAAATCAATTAATAGAAGCTGCATGACATCCTACGTTCTCCTCCAGCAATTCATTCGGATAGCTCTGTTGTTTACAAATTTCCCTTTGTGCTACTGAAGGTGCTTAGTCTTGAAAGGGAAGTTATTCCGACATCCAACTTTATCCTTATTAAGCGCCTAGGCTTTTATATACCCACCTCGAGAATAATGTTGAGCGCACCCTAATTGGGCGATACAATTTTGTTTAATGGAGCAGGCGATCAAA